TATATATATATATATGTAACATGTAACTATTTGTAAATAACTACCAGCTAGGCCTCAAGGATTATAATCGTCCTATAAACACAAGCCACGCCATATCAAGCGGTTAGGACTTCGGAACCCTGAACCGCCGCTTTGCCGGGAACCGCTGTGGCTCGTCAGGCTTCTAAGGAGCATCGGCAAGCAGGCGATAAAGCAACCGGAGCATTTGTGGAGCCTGGCATCATCGTAGTCCATACCGCAATAACGTGCCTGGGCCTGTCGAGGCACCTGATTTACCTCTGTAGGGGTGAGCATGCGCGAGTTGACGCCAGAAGCCCAAAACCCATACACGAAACTCACGAAACCTGAACCGGAACCTGAACCCTGATGCCTCGACACGCACCCTCTAACCCCAGAGACACAAAGCCGACAAACGCCAAACCACAAACCCGAAACCCCAAGCGCCAAAACCCAGAAAACCCTGAGCGCGAAGAGCACTCAAACCGTTTCCTGCGCCCGGCTTCGCCTGGACGCGGAGCGATCGGACGTCGCCGAGGGCGCCTGAAGGCGCCCACGCCCAGGATCATCGAAGCCCTCTTGTGCGCTTTTCAAACTTAAGGAAGGCCGTTCAGGTTAGGTCCATGTTGTTAGGTGTTCTTGGCATGGAGGACAAGTGCTGCGAATTGCGCAGGGTTTCAGGGTTGAGCCCTTGGGGAGGAATATGCGAGCTCAAGAAGAATCTGAAGGCTTCCAGGTTTGCATCTCTCTCTCTCTCTCTTTCTCTGTCTCCATCTCTTTCTTTTATCTGTTCATTCAAAAGTGTACATATCTATATACATGCACGCATGCACATGTCTTTGGAAAGCCCAAGGGATGGCATTATCAATTTCTCAGGCCATCGGTGACGTTTGATGTACGGCCGTTGAGTCCAAGTTTAGCATCTTTGTGGGGATGAAGCTTGGCGGAGCTTTGCATCAAAGCTGGGTGTGTTCGGCAGGTTGATTGGTGGGAGTCTTAGTAGAAAGATGCTGTCCTTGTGGAGATCATGGTGGCGGTGGACATGCCATGGCCATCTTCATCCCCCTTCCCGCCATCATCTCGCTCATCTCGACACCTGTAACTATCCTGTGCTCCATGTGCAGCTCCACGGCAAAGCTGACACCACGAAGCCTTCTCAGAACTGACCTTCAGGTCCCGGGGCTCACGCTAGGTTCATGACTTCGGCTTTCGCTTCAAACCCCGACTCTCGGACCAGAGTCTGAGATCCCTACGAAGCCCGACTGTAGTATACGATTATACCGTATAAGTTATACCCTATAAGATACTATGACTTTTGGGGTCCCTTTTAT